TTACACACTCCTGCCATACCAGGACACTTTTTCTTTGTATTCATATGTGGGGGAGAGCGTATTTCCTATGGGGCTTAGAACCATTAGGTGAGGACGGGCCCCTGCTCCATTCCCCCATTGATGGGTAAAGCCCGGATCCCCCCCCACGAGGGAAGGGCAGGGCCTTGGCCCGGCAACCATTGGAAAGAGAGGGCGGGCCCCGGCCCCCGGGCCCTTTTAGAAGGGGAGGGGCCGAGCCTGGCGCGGCCCCGCCCGGCGCAGTGCGCGAAGCAGACCCGGCCGCCGCTGGACTCGGCGCGCGGCCCGGCACCTGCCGCCCTCGCCGGCCCCGGGCGCCGCTGTCATGCGGCTGGCGCTGCTCTGGGCCCTGGGGCTCCTGGGTGCGGGCAGCCCCCTGCCCTTCCCGTCGCTTCCAGGGACAAGTGAGTGCGGGGCCGGGAGTGGGCCAGGGCAGGACTGGAAAGGGGCGAGGGGAAGTCGGGAGGCATCGGGGTCAGAAGGAGACCCTGGGAGCCCCCAACCAGAGCGCGGCCGGCCCTGGTCTGCGGTCCTGGGCGAGGGCCGGCGACTGGGCGATGGAGAGGAGAGGAAAGGAGGGTCACCCTCGGCACGGTCCCCGCGGACACTCGGGCGCTGGTTCCAGCTCCCGGGGCCTGGCGCGGCGCCCCGCCCTCCGGGAGTGGGTCACTGCGCCCCAGGACTGAGGCCTCGCTCCTTTGGGGCCTGGCCGGCCGTTTCACCCGGGCCAGGGTGCCCAGTGGACACGCTCGTAGGGTTGGCGAAGAGGATTCTTGCCGCCACCTTCTAGGCCTGAACGGCCAGGCACCTCGCACTCTGGTGCTGATGCCACCAGAAATCTGGCTGAGCTGGCGGGGGCCCGGGAGACGCCAAAAGAGGGGAGAATTGGCCAGGAAAGAGGCTGGGACACCAGCTCCTCCTTGGAACTTTCACTTCCTGCTGCGGTCTTGGGCCGGGGGCCGAGCGGGCAGGCGAGGGTGGAGTGTCCGGAGGAGAGAGGGCCATTGTGTGAGGGGGGGGACCCAGGGAGGAAGCAGAGGCTGTGGGGAGCGGGTGTGCCTAACTGGGCATGAGGGGTGTTTGGGGAGGGCATGGTGGTGTTTGCACTGCTAACCCAGAGATGGGCGTTCCCAGCATCTCCGACGTGAGAAAAGGGGAGGGTGAGTGGGCACCCAGCCACCAGGCTTCCCTCAGACCTCGTAGGGGGCGTTGCTTGGGGGGGGGAATGGAGATTGGGTGGGAGTGGGAGGGGAGAAGGCCCCTATGAGAACCTGGGATTGGCCTGAGGGCGAGAGGGCGGAGCCACAGGCTGGGCTGCTCAATTTCTTTGGGGATTTGGGGATGTTGGTGGATGAAGGCACACTGTTGGAGGAAGCCCCCACCCCCAGTATTCTCCTTTAAGTCCCAGCACGCAGTTCAGGAGCCCTTGAGGCAGAGAAGGGGCCTTGGAGTATTTGGGAACCAGGGGGTCCGAGGGCACCAGCTGGTGCCGAGTCTCTCAGCATGCTCTTGGGGTACTCTGGGGACCTGCAGGTGGCACCAAGGAGGAGCAGGCAATTCCAGAGAAGACCCCGAGTGGGCCCTGGGAACCCCAGATCCTTCAGGACAACCTCACACTCAGCCTAGCAGAGGTGCTTCAGGTGAGCCTCTCCGTACCCTCAAACAAAGTACCACCCTGTCACCCCCCAGTCAGGTGTCGCAAGATGAAGCTTGGCTGAAGAGCAGGTGAATGGACCTCACTGTGGCTCGGCCACCCCAGGTCCGGCTGCCTCTCCCCTCACACCCCAGCACCCGGCTTCATTTAGCTCCCTCCCCCTTCTCCACCCATCTGCCTCAGCCCCACCCAGCCCATCCATGGCCACTGGGAAATCCTGAGGTCAAACTTGATTTATTGGTCTCATTTGTTGGTTTTCTCCATGGAGGGATTTGGAGAGAGAGTCAGGACCTCACCCAATGCCCTCCCCTTACCCCCAATTCTAAAGCTGAGTCAGAGGAAGGGCTGGGGCCTGCACTGAGTCCTCCACGATGCTTCCTCTCTGGGCAGGAAGCCGAGAAGGGGGCGGCTCAAGATACCTTCTTTGACCTCCCAGCACAACCCCCCAGAACAATGCCCCAGGCCAGACAGGCCTTCCTGACCCCTCCCTTGGGACAGCCCCCCCAATCAGTGATGTAATCATCGGTGCTCTCCTAAGGGCCTGGCACTTTCTGGTCAGGGAGAATAGGAATTTGGGGCAGGGCCAGGGCGGTGACCTGCTCTCTGGTGCCCACAGACCAGCCTGCCTGAGACTTTACGGATCAAATTGGAATTGGATGGTGAGAGTCATATCCTGGAGCTGCTACAGAATAGGTAAAGGCCGGGGTACTACTAATAATAATAACAACAACATGGCTAACAACTTCTATGGCATTTACTGTGTGTTAGGTACTAAGTGCTTGAATTCATATAATCCTCATAACCACCCTACAAGTAGATACAAGTAATGTGTTATTACTGCCCTCGTTTTGTACAT